TCATCCAGCGACCAACAGTACATCTCAATAAAATCTTATTTTTATTGCAAAGAGATACAAATCGCAACAGCTGTTAGACAGTTTTACAGCAAGTATCCCTATAAAATTTCCTATCAGAGAAAGCAACATAAAAGCAATCACACGACTTCTCATGATAATACCAGGCCATTAGAGAGAAAAATCCTTAGTGTTAAACCCTGTATAAATATAAAATGTAAGGCTTAATGTGTTAAAGTCTTAAATTTTAGTTGATAAAACCTGCAAAAACCCGGCCTTATAAACCACCTAAATCAACATGTGTGTGTGTGTGTGTGTGTGTACATGTTTTTGTGACATATCAGGACACAAATCTGTATAATGACATGGGTATGACACAGGTATTACAAAAAGGAGGTGAAATATGAGGACATTGCTGACGTCCTCTTTTCTCAAAATGCTTATAAATTTTACAGGATGAGTTTAATCAGAGAGTAAAGCTGCACACAGTCTCCTGTGATGGTTGGGTTTAGGGGCAGGGTGGGGTGGGGTGAAGGCAATACCAACCCAAGCTCATTCTGAAAACGTAGTCCCGTACGTAGTCCCGTACGAAAAAACGTAGTTTTTTCAAGTGAACGCTGCGGGGCGGTGTGACGCTGTTCCCTTTCGGGCTTGCCTTACCTCCTTGTGGAGGGCTTCCCCGCTGTAACCCATTTGTCCACTCAGCTCACCATATACGTCGGAGGGCTCGAGATGCAGAGAGGGGTCGACCATGGCGACCGGTTTCGAGTCCGGGGAAGAGCAGCTCCAGCAATCAGGTAAGACAAAAACAGAATCCCAAAAATCAAGTGAACGAGTTTCGTGACAGGGTGAGAACGCGGCGAAATCCAAAAACACGGTGGAATAAAAAAAAAAATCAGGGCTTTTGTTTTTTTGGACGGCTTTTGTGAACTGTTGCTCGGGTTTAGGGAAGCGAGCGGGCGGGCGGGTCGATCGGTATAATTGGTTGGGTTCAGGGAAGGAGGAGGGCGAGTCGGCCGATTGGCCGGTCGCGCAGTCAATCATCCGGTCAGTCGGACAGTGGCCTCCGGCGGGTTCACGCGAGAACAGTTCGCGCCCGCGAGAGGCGTCTGAGGTGCGAAAAAGCGCGCGACAGCGGCCTCTCGCGGATTCGCGAAAACAAAAACTGCAGCCGTACGTACCCGCCGGGACGTATTCAGCGGTCTCCAGAAACGTCCACGGGACTACGTTTCCACATTGAGCCTGGGTTGGGCAATGCAATATACGGTTTGGACAGTATTACATGAATGGAAACCTATGTAATGTCCCCACTTTTCACAAGTGTGTGTGTGTGTGTGTGTGTGTGTGTGTTTTAGAAAGAGAAGAGCTCAGTCAGCTGTGGTGTGGAAATGCTCTGAACAGACATTACTCCCACAGATCCACAGAGTCTGTGTTCTGGAGCCTATTTTTTCCCCCAGTATGTTTTGTTCTATCCTCCTCCTGTTCGTTCCACATCTCTCTGCCTGTGCCTGGCTGACCTTTTCATTGGGCTGCTGTAGAAGAGCTTCCCTTTCATGGGTGCTGCTGCAAAGCTTTTGTGCCACCTCTCTTTCTCTCTGTCTCTGTTATACCACTATTTTTCTCATCCTCACAGTGCCACTGAGCTACTATTAACCTCCTGAACCTAAGCAGAGGGAACCATCTCCCTCCTAAGTTCTTGGGTGAAAATCGTACATGTAGGCAGTTTTAGTGATGCAGCCACTCTCCTTGTAATGGCCAGAAGGTTAGGGCTTTATGAACCACACTGAATCTAATCTCTGTGGCTCCTTTCTAAACCTTTAACGGACCACAGAAATGCTGGAATGTGGCTATTTAATGGTATGTTTTCAACTGACAGAAGCAAACCCTTAATGGAAGCTCCTGTATTGATATTATGATTGACGTCCTTTATATTCCAGTGCATTCCTTGGCAATTTTATCCATATATTTCAATGCCACGTTAGGGGATGGAAATGCCAGACATGTTGCATTGTGGGCAACTTGAGTTTTGAATCTGGCACGGGTCCCCACCCCACTATCCCTGTTCTAGCCTTTCCCACCATTTATCTTTTAACAGGAAAAAGCTGTATAATTATAGGAAGATATTTGGAATTAACTACAAAGGTGGTATTGTTGCCGGCGTTTGTTGTTCATGCCCGGTTAAAGCTTTAATAGTCCCTTAGGGCTCTCAGGGTTGGCCAAGTTTATGATTGCATCCAGAATTCATCAATTGTGTTTATTCATTGCATATGATTAGTTTGTTTCGCCGTTGCTTTGAATGCTTTGGTGTTCATATTCTGGATCTGGTTTGTGGTGCATGTCAAATTGGAAATTGCATTAAATCATACCTGCCAACACTCCTGTTTTTCCCGGGAGTCTCCCATATTTCAGACCCATCTCCCATATTGTTCTGTCTCCTGGATAACTCCCGGAATTCCACCCCAGAATTCCTGCTAAATATTACCAACTGCAAGAAGTGTACATTTCTTTAGATAAAAGTATCTGTCGAATGGTTACATGCAGTGGTGGGTAAAGGTACAATGAATCGTAAAACATTCAAATCTGTTTTTTTTTTTTTTTTTGAGTAAGCAAATGTGTTACTTTTTAAGGAAAATTATGTCAAGGTGTTAAATTTCAAAGGTTTGTTTTGGTTCTTTTAACCTGCCCTTTGCCAGTGTAGACAATTATCTTTCAACACCCCGAGTTGCCTTGGTGGAAAACTGTATTTTTATTCATTCAGTCAGGAAGGCTCTGTGACCAAAATGCAACCTATGGTGAATAGTAACAGCCTCCGAAATGACACACAGATTCAGAGTTCCACCTGAGGCGGTTATTTTAATTAGCAAATAATATCAATAGTACAAATAAAATAAGAAGATGCCTCTTCCCTTCAAGAATAGGCAGTAGAACTTGCCAAAATGACTGCATTTGAAAAAATGTCTTATAAGCAAATAGACAAGCTATACCTACACTGTAAAAATGCAGGGTTCCACACAATTCATTCATGTTGTCCCAACACAAACTGATTGTTAACTTAACACTTTTAACAAATGTATGTGGATTAAACATAAAAAAAAATATTAAGTTGTCCCAATGAAAAAGTGCTAAACCTGTTTGGAAATGGAACAGTAATAAATGTGTGAGAAATATACTGAATGTAACAGTTTAAATGTGATATATGTTATTGGCCGAACTTACCTATTAATTTTTTTAATTCTATTTTATTTTAATTTTCTCTTCATTATATAAAGATAGAGGCTTTAACTGTGTTTAAAGATAGCCAAGCGGGGACCTTAAAGTCGTACTTTGGGATTAGTTTGGGTTGGGTTTGTCAATATGGTAAAATGTTGGTTCTTTACAGAGTTGTATTCTGTATTCTGTATTGAGATTCAATAAAATTGTTAATCACTAATGGTACAAATGTAAACATTAGCTGAGTAGGTTATATTGTAACCCTGCTTATTAGCAACATGCTACGTGACAAGATTTACAGTCATAATCAATTTGGCTGTTTGCGCCTGACAAAACACGACAGAAATTTAAATACAGCCATTCTGAAACACAGAATAGTGCACTCACTGCACTCATACGAAATGGTAAGGTTTATAATCTAATTAATACATATTAAACCTCTTTACATTATTAAATGTGGATGCTAAATCACTTCTATGTGTTGGCTTGCACCGAGTCACAGTTCTAAAGTTCAATTTCAAATGGTTTAACGTATTTTATTTTCAAGATCTGATGTGAACTATCTGCTGCTGCTTACAGTAGTTTGGCAATAAATGTCATGTAAAATGGCATTCAAACTCAAATTTTTAGCATTTAACACTGAATAAAGCGAATGAGGTGTACCAGAAGTAAACATTGTCAGTTTTCTGTTGTTCAGCTCTGAGAAATAGAAGCCATTTCTAAAATATGAGGTTCAGGTGTAGGTTCAGGTCAGGACAAAATTTCCTTTTAATATAGACAATATTTCTTCTATCGTGTGCCTTTGCTCTTATTTAAAACACAACTTAGACCAGCTTTAAATCAACCTTTAGGCTCGATAGTCAGGCTCACTCCTGTTGATTTCGTCAATCTGGCAACATGCGCTTGCGTGTGTTTTGAACCTAGTTCAACCACTGGGTGTCAAACTTACATATTGCACATTTAAGAGTAAGATTTTTTCAAAGGAACATTACCCAACACTGCTTAAATGTTAATACCCACAGGAGATCACACATATCAAATTATTATTATAATTTCTCCTGAGTTGGAGAAGCTAGTATTAATATTAAAAGTGTAGGTTTAACCTGCACACATCATAACTGTAACAAACATTAAACACACATTCCACTATACAAAAACTTTGCAAACCCTAACTTAGAAATCATCAAGAAACATCCCTGAATAAATATTATATGTCAAATATAAACTCTGTATTAGTGCCGGTCTGTAGTTAAATGCACAAAACTGCTTTAAGGCTATTAAAGTGGTACCAAGTGGTAATTCTGACATACCTGCTGGCCATTAATCTGCTTAATCTGCTATTGCTATGAGGCGAATATTAAAAAATCAAGAATGAAAACTTGTTGGCAAAGAAAAAAAATATTGCTTTAAGGCTAATGAATTAACACCAAGTGGTAAGGAGTAATTCTAATATACCTACTGGCTATTATTCAGCTTAATCAGCTAGTGCTATAGGGTGAACGTTAAATCATCTTAATTTATATTCATTAGCCACGCTGATGAGGTTTTACACGGACCCCCCACCCTATTTTATTAGATATTTCTTTACCCTGAATTAGAAGCAGTGACACCTGGCCTGCTTGTATGTCTTCAGACTATACTGTACTTTGGATCCTTGGACAGAAGAAAAAGACAGAAGAGTTCATTGAGTAGCTCCTTTTGATTTTTCTACTAATGTTTTTCTTTCCCTTTCCAAGAACACAGTCCAGTGGCTTGTCTAGATTAGTTACAGACTTGTTACACTTTATTTTCAGGGCACTGTGAAAAAACATTTGCCATCCTGAGAAGGTTTGCCAGTGGAGCAGTAACACAAGCACCATGGCTGCTTATAGTGGATGACGACACACTGATCAGGTAAATGCCATATCTTTATAATATTTACAGACCTGACTAGATGTAAAAAGATTTTACAGTCAGGCCAACACTCATCCAATCACCAACAATACAAGGTCTTAAAAAGTCCTAAATTTGACTTGATGAAACCTGTAGAAACAATGAATACATCAGATCTATGGAGAGTCCTTTTAAACCACCAATATCAAACAGTTGCTGTGCTCTTGAAGTAAGCCCTGTTTCTCAATCAACATCTTTGATCGGTCCTTAAACAACGTCCCTATCTAAAAATATAGTGTTAAAAGGATAGTTCATCCAAAATATGAAGAATTTCTCACCATTTATTCACCCTTAAGCAGTTTTAAATCTTTATGAAATCAAAATATGGTATTTTGAAAAATGTTAAAACCTATAACCATTGACTTCTATAGTAGGAAAGACAAATAAATAGAGGTCAATGGTTACAGGTTTCTAACATTCTTCAAAATATCTTTTTTTGTGTTTAAACAGATTTGTGACAAGTAAAGGGTGAATAAATGATGACAGACGTGTTATTTTAGAGTGAACCATCCCTTTAACCTTGTCTTTAACCATAGATAGACCTAACCCTAACCATCATTTATTAATTCATTCAATTTCTTTTTGGCTTAATCCCTTTTTTAATCCGGGGTCGCCACAGCGAAATGAATTGCCAACTTATCCAGCATATGTTTTACGCAGTGGATGCCCTTCCAGCTGCAACCCATCTCTGGGAAACGTCTATTCACACTCATTCATACACATACACCTATAGGGCATGTCTTTGGACTTGTGGGGGAAACCTGAGCAACTGGAGGAAACCCAGGGGAGAACATGCAAACTCCACACAAAAATGCCCACTGACCCAGCTGAGGATCGAACCAGCGACCTTCTCACTGTGATGCGACAGCACTACCTACTGCACCACTGCGTCGCTTATTTCTAAACTCAAAGAGTGAATAATAATTGTGTAAAAACTCTCCTTATTAGTCTAAACTTGGCATTAACTTTTCCAAAATATTGCTAAATGCTGATTGTTTGATTAGTATTTTTATCATGCTCTACTTCAAATCACGTTCAGGCATTAGAAACGCCAGAGAAAAAAGTATTAAGATGCTTATCCTTAATGGGAAATACGCTAACCCGTGTAATCTTGAATATAAAAGAGCCTATCTCCAGTACCATCTGCAGAATTATAATCCAGCAGTCTGGCACGGACCAAAAAATAAAAAAAACAGGTACACCCACACGAAAATACTCTCATTGTGTGGCAAAGCACATAAGGTCACATTCCTGAAATCGGAGCAAATTTGGGACTGGGATTCACATGGCTGTAAAGTCTGGTAAATGCCTTTACAAATTACACACCTAGATATTTCTGCTGCCTTCATATGACCTCAATAAGAGATGAAAATCAGGGCATTTCATGCAATTTAGAGGCCTGTAAAGATCCAGGTGTGACCTTTTTTGAATAAAAAGGGAAATTTCTCTTAAGAAATAGGAGCTGGTTCGCTCATAGCATTAAGAATGTGAGTAGGGCTGCACAATATATAATTTCACCATTGATATTGCAATGTGTGAGTCCGCAATAGTCACATTGCAAGATATGCTATGTTAAATTGGGATTATAGTCAATCAAAAATATATTTTACATGAGATTTGTGGAGTCATTGCAACGTAACCGTAACAGAGTGAAACTTTATCTTTTGCATCTATTTTAAAGCCATTTTAAGAAAGTGTAAAGCATTCGGGCATGATAATATAAAACTTTAATGAAGAAAAAATGACTGGTTTATTACAGTTTTTTCAATTGTTTTTTCAAAATATAATCACAATTATTCAAACACCACACTCAATTTGTAGAATTCCTAGATTGTTAGCAAAATGATACACTCCTGTTAAAACATACACACTTCAGTCAAAACATATACACATATTTGTGAAAATGCTATTAGTCTTCATTTAACCAGTACAGTCCTCAATGATCAGACACTATTGCAGATAGTTTCACACTGCTGTGATGAATAAAGAAAAAAACATATGTAAAATAAATAAATAAATAAATAATTTTAGGAAATAGCATGTGTTATATTTTTGGGCAGACAGTGTTATGTATGGAATCATTTTGATGACAAAACTGAATAGTGACAAGCCCACAACATTCTTCATGATTAGTTTGAGATTTAGGGAGAATGTACACAAATAGGCCTAATTTCTATTTCAGTTCAAGAAATACAGTATTTCTGCTGAGATTTGGTTGAACTCTTTGTCTAGCTTCCATCAGTGTCAGTCTATGTTGATAACATGGTCAATAAGTGTTGCATGGATTTCTTGAGTTAAATTTGGTCCTTGTCTTCTTTGTTCAGGTTCTATCAAATCTTCAAGTCCTTCTCTTCCTCTACCTAGGCATCTTGCTCTATCTCCTCTTCCTCTACCTCCTTCTCCTCTCCCTCTACCCATTTCTTCTCCTCTTTGAGCTCCCCCTCTCTTTCTCACTCTTCTTGTAGCTCCTTCCATTTTTGATGAATACAGGTGAACTCACCTGCTGCCTTTTATAGCACACCTGAGTGCTGCGTTTTCAAATTAGCATGTGTGCTTCCACACCTTGTGGATGTGTTTATCCAATTCATTCATTAGCGTGGTCATATGCAATCCGGGGCTTTGTAATGACAAGGAAGTAATCTCACAATTCTTATCTGTGTCTAAATTGTCGAATTGTGTGTAGAGTTGTACAAACCACTGTGTTTAATGTTTTGCAAAAAGAGTGAAGCAGACTTTGTGTGTAATGTTGTGCAAATCTGTGGCGGTGTTTTACTCCTTGGAGTAGAATTTTGCTAATTGTGTGGAAATTTGAGTGTAAACAATCGTAAAAAAACTGTAATACAATGAAGGCTATACAGTGTTATTTAACATTTCTAAATTTCTGTATTTGAATACTGTTTGACTCCAGGAGATCATAAAGAACAGTTTATTTACTTTTTTCTTTGCTTTGTTGTAAGTATTCACTTTAATTTTAATTTTCTATTTCCCTTACAAAATCAATCTAACCAATCTAAATGAATGATTTTTCACGGATGGAGCTATTCAAGCCATCTGGTGAAATTGTTTTCATATTGAATTATGTATCGCAGCAAAGCAAAATATTGCAATGTCAGATTTTTCCAACATTGTGCAGCCCTAATAGTGGGATAGATTTATTTAGCCTTTAATAAATAATAAAACTTAAACATTCATCTTGATCTGACTAGCACATATCACATACTTGTTTTTGTTGACAGTATCTATCTTTTTGTTTGTTTTTAGTTATTGTATTTACACTGGTGAGCCAAAGCTTTTTTCTTTTTTTTACCAGTCACGAAAATAACCCTGGTTTTACCGCAAATAATACAACAACAAAAAAGTAACAATTAATGTAGTTAAACATTGGCAACTACAAATTAACCATGATTTTGCTACTCTAATTAAAGGCAAAATTATTAGCCATTTCATTTTTTTTTTCAAATATTCCCAAATGATGTTTAAGAGAGTAAATGTTTTTTTTTTATTTACATTTTTTTAAACATGATAGTTTTAATAACTAATTTCTAATAACTAATAATTTCTTTAATCTTAAAGACTTTACTAGTTATTTTGCAAGCTACTAGTATTCAGCTTAGTGCAATTTAAATGCTTAACTATGTTAATTAAGTTAACAAAGCAAATTAGGCTAATAAGGCATGTCATTGGACAACAGTGGTGTGTTCTGAAGCAAATAAAAAAGGAGGCTAAAAATATTGACCTTTTATTGCAGCCAAACTTAAAGAAATGACTTCCTCTAGAATTAAAAAAATCATTGATTTATTCATTCACTTTCATCTGCTTTTCCGAGGCCTGATTGTGGGGGCAGCAGTCTTAGGTGAGAACCCCAGACTTCACTCTCCCCAGACACTAACTCAAGCTCCTCCAGGGGATCCTGATGCATTTCCAGGCCAGCTGAGAGACATAGTCCCTCCAACGTGTCCTGGTTCTTTCTCGAGGCCGCTCCCGGTGGCACATGACTGGAACACCTCCCTAGGTTGGTGTCCAGGAGGCATCCGTAACAGATGCCCGAGCCACCTCAGCTGATTTCTCTCGATGTGGAGGAGCAGCGGCTCTTCTCTGACCTCCTCCTGGGTGACAGAGCTCCTCACCCTATCTATAAGTGTGCAGCCTGCCACATGACTGCCTTTGGCCAATTGTATCCAAGATCTTGTCCTTTCGGTCATCACCCAAAGCTCATGACCATAGGTGGCAGTAGGAATGTAGATTGACCGGTAAACCGAGAGCTTTGCCTTTCGGCTCAGCTCCTTCTTTACCACAATGGACCGCAATACTGCTGCCGCTGCACCGATCCAGTAATTATATTCATAATTAGGATATGTTAGGAAATACTGTGAAAATTGCTCTGTTAGACATTACTTGAAGAATATTTAAAAAACAATCACAATTTCACAGCAGGGTAATATATTTGCCTTTTGATGCAAAGTTTTTTAGATATTAGAATCAGTATTGTTCGTTTTAAAGATATCTATAATCCAGTGTGCTCCAAAACACTGACAAAATTTACGTTTACAAGATATAAAACTGATAAAAACACGTAAAGCTTGTAGTTTGCCACTTCCACCTAAATGGATCAACGGTTTGATTCACGTCACCTCATACTTCAGTTTCTCATCAAATCATAACCAATCAAATATTCTTTTTTTATATATATTATATATAAAAAATATATAAAAATATATATATATTATATATATTATATAAATATTTGATGCGCTTGACCTCAATCACTCTCAGTGGCAAAGCGCCGATGATAAAAACAAAACACTATTGGCTGTTTTAAATAGGGGAGGAACTATTGACCCTATCCGCTTGTTAAGTGTGACGTCATGCGGAGCGGCTTCCGGGTCCAAGCTCTATTCAACTGAATGGGGAGATTCATGAAATGGTAATAATAAACGTTTACAAAGCGATTTAATACCTTC